GAAGCTGTGGCAACAACGCACCGGCATAGTAAATATTAATATTTATATCCCGTGTGTATCGAGGCACGTATCACTCGGTATCACATGTGGTAATGCATCGGCTATATTACTGGAATCATCACGTGATCACGTCACATGATCGCTATGTAATACATAATGCTTGGAAGCAACTTTTATGCACGAATATAAGGGAGTTAGCGGTCTAGTGTTATATAGAAGTCTGTGTATCAACCTGTTGAGCAATGTAATGTAGAAAGATTAGAATTACTGTCTAAAGAGAACAACTCAGTATCATCTAAAGAGAACAACTCTACATCCAGTAATCTGAATTGTTCTACAACAGCAGAGCAACTCTCAATACAAGGAAAGAAACAAAAGTCGATTCTGATTCAGAAATAGCTGAGAGCACATTAAATACAATATCAATTGATGCGCAGCACTCATTTACTGTTGCTTTACGTTATACTTTTGTTATTCATAAACTTACGCATGTCCAGGGTGACGCTATTTTAAATATTTTAAGATCGCATCAGTGTTTATCATATTTGCCACGATCAACTAGAACTTTTTTGCAGATGCCCAAAACGTTTAATTACAAGCTTATTTCAATAGGGCTAGGCCAATATATTCTGTGACGTTGCCGTTCCGCGTGCGCGTCCACCGGGATCCTCCCTCAGGGCAACAGGCCGAGATTAGGGGAAACCGTGCCGCAGTCTCCAGAGAGGCGACCGTTAGAGGTTCTGTCGTTCCGACGTTATTGCTGATTATTTGTTTTTTTGTTATTATGAATACGAGCGTGTGAGTACGGATGGACGCGAGGGCAGAGGAGAGAGAAGAGGCCCGGCTAACGGACAAATTCCGCGGCGAGCACGGTGGAGAGGCTTGCGGATTGAGAACGGAGCACGCGGAGCAGCGAGCCGGGAGGAAGGAGCCCAGGGCCCGTGGCACTCTACCTGAGGGGCGTCAGCGGGGGAGCCGCTGCGACAGCCCTATCGAGGGAACGCTACGAGAAAATTTGGCGATACCGCGGGCACCTGCGCCCGGTCTTGAAAATATCGCTGCCCGCGTTGTCGCGTGCCGTCGCGCGATTGGCCGCGGGGCACGCGCCTCGTGTGAGCAGCCGCGGGGGGGGGGGGCCGAACTATCGATCCGCGATCGCGGAAATTCGGAGATTAGCCTGTTGCCGAGCGTGTTAGAGTGAGGGCCCCGGTCTGCCGCTGCCGCCGTACTACCGCCGAATTGCGAGTTCCCGTGCAGGACGAGCCGTTGACGCCTGACGATCCCGGGAGAGCCGAGGTGCCGGTGAGATCCTCCTCCGTCCGTTTCGCCCCGTACGATTGCGTCCGGGACCGTGTTGCTCTGTCGTCGCCGGGAAAATATCGCGATTGGGGTTGCCCGGGCCACGGCCCGTCGGCTTTAGATTTTTTTTTGGGTGTCCCGGTCGCGACGACAAGCAGCCGCGGTCCCCGGAGCCTGCAGGGCACAGGTCTCAATTGTGTGTGTGTGTGTGAGCAAGTGTGCGTGAGCCGAGTCTCGCGATCGCGTAAAGTATTGGTGGCCGATCTGGAGATTCGCGGTGCGAGGGTTGCGTCGCGCGAGATCACGCGGGGTACGCATGCCGCGGGAGTGTCGCGTGCATGCGTGGCGCGAGGGTACGTCGCCGTAGAGCCGCGGCGACCGAGAAATTGCGAACGGCTGTGTGAGTGTCTGCGATACCCCGTGCCGCTTCCGCCGCTGTCGGTGGCTGGTTTCGTACGGACGGTACGTCCGGAGCGGGATCCTCTGCCGACCGGAGCGGCCGGCGCGGCCGGGAGAGAGCAAAGGCTCGTCGTAGTTAGCCGTCGGGGACTGCCCGGCGTGGGATTGCACGTCGTTGTAAGACGGGCCGATCCGTCGGCCCGAATACCCAGTCTCGCGGGCGAAGCGCCCCGGCCGAATGCCGCGTGTGCAACGGTAGTCGTACCGTTCGCGAGGCAATTAATGTGAATGCGTCCGTGTCTTTCGGGTAGGGTTTATCGCGTCCGGGAATTTCTGCCGTTGAGTTCGCGCCGGATTGCTCCGTATCGCTTAGAGTATCGCGGCGAGTTGTTCCCCCGAGCTCGGGGCCTGTACCATTTTCGCCTGCGACGCCGCCCGTAATTGCGGCCACTCAACCGGCTTGTTAACGCCGCTTTGCATTAAACCCGATTTTATTTATTTTATTTTGCGAGTTTCTTTTCGTGTACGTCTCTCCTCGTGTGTCTCGTCCGTCGTGAGGATCAATTAAGTCCCGTAGCCTCTGGAATCTTTTGGTGTCAACCACCGCCCAGCCCCTCTAACGTTAGACGAGCTAGCCTGTCCGTGACGAAGGCCGATACCGATCGTTCGTGCAATTTGGCGGATATCGCGACGTGACGCGTGAAAGATCGCGTCTGGCGCCCAATCTTCGTTTTTCGCGTCGAGCCTTCGGCTTTCGGCACGGTACGCGCGGAGCTACCGAGATCTTGCTCCTTTCCGGCGCGTTATCATTTTCCCCCCTGGTTTTTGACGACGTCTCGATCCGTCCGCGTCCCGCGCTTCTCGCGCCCGGCGACCACACTCCCGTCGTCGGCGCGCACCTCCGATTAAGACCCGCGCGCGACAGCGAGAGCGGGACGGCAACACACGTCCGTCCACGTATAACGGGAGGACGGAAGAAGAGAAAAGAAAATAATAAACGTCGCAATTCATATTGGTTTTGAACATCTTATTCAAGAAAAATTGTCATGCATAAATGTTAAGGAACTACCTACTGAAATAGTAGTGTAACTATGGGGTTTCTGGACCACTTTTGGAGGAGGAACCGGGCGGTCCTATCCGCTGGGGGGAGGGGGAACCGGGCGATCCTAACCGCGGGGGAGGGGGGGATACGGCGATCCTAACCGCGGGGGAAGGGATATGGCGGCCCTAACCGCGGGGGAGGAGGATACGGTGGTCCTATACGGCGGTCCTAACCGCTGGGGGCAGGGGGAACCGGGCGGTCCTAACCGCCGGGGTGGGGGGGATACGGCAATCCTAGCCGCGGGGGAAGGGATATGGCGGCCCTAACCGCGGGGGAGGAGGATACGGTGGTCCTATACGGCTGTCCTAACCGCGGGGAGGGGGATACGGCGGTCCTTACCTTATGGGACCCTACGCGGCGGCCCTAACCGTGGTGCGGGGAGGGAGAGGTCCGGCTCATCTTTCATGAGACCGGGGACTTTCTTATTGGCATGCGGTATACCGTACGCGTTGTCATCTGGATAATCGCTCGTGTCGAATCTGCGTATATCGCGTTTCACAGTCTCGTATACATCCTAGCACTCGACATGGTATATGAGACTGTCCGTATCGGTGTACATAATTTTGCTTCCTCATAGAGGAAGCTTTGTTTTCGTGAAAAAAATTTTTTTCCAGTTTTTTTGGGAATATGTTTAAAATGTTTTAAAATGTCTAAAAATAATATTTTTACAAAATGTCTGTATGTGTGTGTGTGTGTGTGTGTGTGTGTGTGTGTGTGTGTGTGTGTGTCTGTGTGTGTGTGTGTGTCTGTGTGTGTGTGTCTGTGTGTGTGTGTCTGTGTGTGTGTGTCTGTGTGTGTGTGTCTGTGTGTGTGTGTGTCTGTGTGTGTGTGTCTGTGTGTGTGTGTCTGTGTGTGTGTCTGTTCTGTGTGCGTGTGCGTGTGCGTGTGCGTGTGCGTGTGCGTGTGCGTGTGCGTGTGTGTACGCATTCGAATGTCTGTGACTGCTCTAACTTCCGTAAATTTTGAGATATCGGGCTAATTTTTTTTTAAACGTCGAGAATCACTAAAGGAAGGTTGGTATTGATTTTTGCGATGATCGGTAAACGGGTTTCTTTTTAAAAAAATTTTGAATTTTTTGAGAAATGTCTGTGATTGCTTTAACTTTTGGAAATTTTGAGATATCGGGCTATTTCTTATTCTATTATTCTTTCCAGTCTTTTCTACCCCTATTTCATATATAATTGATTAATATTCGGTTGATTAGTTCTTAAGTTATAGATGTTTGAAATTTCGCGGAATCCGTACATGAACACTTTTTCATTATACTGGTTGTTTCAAAAGTGATGTTACAAAATGTAATGGTGAAATGTATACATTAGTATAAGCAAAAAGTCCTAATAAACATAGGTAGAGGCCCCTCTTTTTCATTATACAGGTTTCAGAAGTGATGGTACACAATGTAATAAAGAAATGTACACACTTGTAGAAGCAAAAAGTTTCAATACACATAGGTAGAGGTATACCTCTTGAATATGGCGATGACCGGTAAAAGGTTTTCTAATTTTTAATTTTTTTTTAGAAATGTCTGTGGTTGGTGTAACTATCGCAAATTTTCTTTAATAATGATTTCCAAAAATTTCAAATGTCCATAACTCAAGAACTGTATGTCAAGAACTAGTTAATCATATTTTAATGAATTATATATGAAATTTGTTTGGATACAAAACTCTTGTCCCTTTATTCTTATAAACTAATCTTACATGCTCTTACTCGCTACTCGCAATCGCACGTCCGCACGCTTGGCTGGCCAGCCGCAGAGAGAGCGAGATTGGGCGTCGAGCCCGGAAAAGAAAGAAAAATGGGAAGTTCTCGTGCCAATCTCACGGCCGCTGTGTCGCTATAGGTTTCTAGTTCGTACTGCCAACTTAGAGGACGCGCGCTATTTGAACTCCTGTACATACTCCCCGCCGTTGAACCTCGCGTTCGACTACAATTAATTGCGTTGTATAGGCAAGAGTGCTACATTTTTTACCGCACGCTTGTAGATACCATTAGCTGTTTTCACCTCTATTACTCGGACAATGTCGTCATTACCCGGATACAATTTTACAACTCGCCCTGTAGGCCAATACAAAGGTGGCGCGTTAATTTCCCTTAATATAACTAAATCGCCTACTTGCAACTCGGGAGATCGCTCCTTACTTTTTACAGTGCGCTGTGTCAATTCGGTCAGATACTCTTTATTCCATCTGACCCAGAAGTCGCGTTTTAGTTTCTGAATATGTTGCCAGTGAGCAAGCCTATTGCTGGGAGTATCAGTGAAATCGGCTTCGGGAACAGATAAAAGAGAATCTCCAATTAAAAAATGACCCGGAGACAATACAGCCAGATCACCCGGTTCGGTGGACAAAGGTGTCAAAGGTCTGGAGTTCAAGATGGCCTCTATCTCTATGATTAACGTATTGAACTGCTCAAATGTAAATAAAGTGTGCTTACTTACGCGGTACAAGTGATATTTAAAGGAACGCACTGCTGCTTCCCACAATCCTCCAAAATGAGGAGCCCGCGGGGGTATGAATTTCCAGTCTACCCCCTGTTCACCCAACCGATGCGCTATCGCAGTTTTATTAGTGTTAATAAATTTGCCTAAATCTCGTAACTCGTTTCTTGCACCAATAAAGTTAGTGGCATTATCAGACATTAAAAGATTTGCCTTGCCCCTGCGGCTGAAGAATCTCTTTAAAGCTGCAAGAAACGCCTGGGTGGTTAAGTCACTCACCAACTCTAAATGCACCGCCTTTGTTGACAGGCACACGAAGATGGATACGTAAACCTTTACTTTATTTCTATTTCTTTCCTTTTTCTCTTTGATCAAAAAGGGACCGCAGTAGTCAACACCTGAGTTCGCGAAGGGGCGAATAAACCTTGATCTTTCCTTGGGAAGATCACCCATTTTATATTCTAACATTCTTGGCTTCGCTTTAAAACATACCACACATTCGTGAATGATCTGCTTTATACGACTCCTCGCGTGTACTGGCCAATACTTTTGTCTAATGTAATACAGCGTTGCTTGAGGCCCAGCATGCAGCAATGAAAGATGAGCATTCCTAATGATTAACTCGGTTACGTGATGTCTTTGTGGCAAAATGATTTGATGCCTTTGCTCATATTTCAGATCTGCATGCGCTAGCCTTCCTCCTACTCGCAGAACTCCACTAGCATCCACAAATGGATGTAAAGAAGCTATCTTACTACTATTTTTGAGCAATCTACCCGCGTTTAGCTCTTTAATCTCGCTCGCAAAAAACTCGAGTTGGACGAGTTTGATTATCTTCGTCATTGCTTGCTTCAACTCTAAATTCGTCAGATTACCTCTTGCCTTGCCCTTTCCAAGACAATTGTTCGTAAATCTGCAACACCATGCCATCACCCTGTGAAGTACAGAAACCCTTGAAAATTGTCGCAGTATGTCGAACCTCCTCTCCGCCTTCAGAACAGTTGTCTTTCTTTCCTCCGGAGTCTCCAGTAAGTTTGAGTCGAGCTTGGGCCATTTGGTCTCGTGTTCTGTGAGCCATTCCGGACCGGTCTTCCATAACGGATTGCTGATTAGACTCGCAGGCAGAGCTCCTCTCGAAACCAGGTCTGCCGGATTGTCGCGCGATGCTACGTGTCTCCATTCTTCTCTGTTGTTGATATCTTGAATTGCGGCGACACGGTTCGCAACAAACGTTTTTAAGCGATGTGGCTGCGTCTGGATCCGATGTAAAGCTACAGTTGAATCTGACCACAAGATGACTCTGTCAAACGATATGCCGAACGCTTTCAACACGGTTTGACAAAGTTGTGCCAACAACAAGGCGGCACATAGCTCTAACCTTGGCAATGTTAGTTTCTTCAGTGGTGCTATCCTTGATCTAGAGCAGACCAGTGCTGTGTGATAAGTCTGGTTGAACCTTGTTGATCTAATGTACAAACAAGCTCCGTATGCGGCCTCACTTGCATCTGCAAACCCGTGTAACTGTAGACTTGCAACTTGCGTTGCACAGACTTGTCGTGGAAATGTGATGTTGTTTAGTTCTTCTAAGCTGTTTAGATATGCCTTCCATTGATCGCAGATTTCTGCTGGAACTTGCTCGTCCCAATCCACTTTCAGTTTCCATAGGGTTTGGAGCAGTATTTTAGCCTTGACTATAATCGGGCCTAGCAGCCCTAGAGGATCGTACAAAGATGCGACTTGTGCCAATATGGTTCGCTTGGTTACTTCGCATCCCTGTGGTCGTATGTTGACTCGATATAGTAGGCAATCCTGCTGTTGGTTCCAAAGAACTCCTAGCGTCTTGTGTGTATCGGCAAAGTCTAAGCTTACGTGTTCTTCCTCCCCGTTGTTAGTTCCTTCGCCGAACCGCGGATGATTTGAGGCCCACTTCCGAAGGTGGAAGCCTCCTCTCTTCAAAAGGCTTGCAATCTGAGTCCTCAACTCTTGCGCTCGCTCCAACGTGCTTGCTCCTGTCAGAAGATCGTCCATGTACATATCTTGCTTTACTATTTCTGCCACTCCTGGATAACGTTGTTGCTCGTCCTCAGCGACCTGTTGTACCGTACCCGTTGCTAGATATGATGACGAGGACATCCCGTAGGTTATGGTATTCAATTGATATGTTTTAACAGCCTCTTGTGGGTTGTCTCTCCATAGTATCCTTTGAAAACGACGATCATCCTCCTGTATATACACCTGTCTGAACATTTTCTCTATGTCTGCTGTAAAGACTATGTTGTGCAGGCGAAACCGTGTAACCACAGAGAAGAGGTCTCGCTGCAATACAGGACCTGTAAGTAGAGTATCGTTCAGCGAAAGCCCAGTAGTAGTTCTCGTTGAAGCGTCAAACACCACTCTCACTCGCGTAGTGTTGCTGCTATCCTTCAGTACTGCATGATGAGGAAGAAAATAGCTCTCTTGAATACTTGCGTTCTCTATCCGAGACATATGTCCCAGGGCTTCATATTCTTTAAGGAAACTCCGATATTCTTCGTATAACTTAGCGTCTGCACTCAACCTTCTTTCTAATCCTTGCAGTCTTTTTAGAGCTAGCCCGTACGACTCACCTAATCTATTCTTCTTGTCATTGAAAGGTAACTTCACTGCGTAGTGTCCTGAAGAAAGCCTTATAACATTTTGCTCGTAGTGTTTTCCACACTCCTCTTCTTCCGGTGAGAGTATTCTTCTCGGTGGTAGCTCCTTTGTTTCCCAAAACTTCCTTACTGCCTCCTCCAATGTACTTCTAGAGAGATGGCATAGTTTAGTTGCTACAGCGTTAGGCGAATAAATTTTGCCAACTACCACCCAGCCAAATCGAGTTTGTTGCAGCATTGTACCTACTTTCAATTTGATTTGTCCTACGCATAACAAATGGTAAAAGTATTCTGCGCCTATAAGTATATCTACGTGGTTTGGTTGGTCAAATGTCGGATCCGCAAGAATGATATTCTCCGGAATATCTAGTGCCTTTCGATCGATTACGCTGCTCGGTAGCATCTCCGTTATCCTTGGAATTACTAAACAATCGAGGGATAGTACAAGAGAATCGCTTCTAGATTTGATAGTTACCTTTGTTGAATGTTTGATATGAGAAATCCTATCTCCGATTCCGCTAATAGGGATGTCTATCGTATTTTTATGTAGCTTTAACTTACTACAACAAGTTTCGGCTATAAAATTGGCTTGCGATCCGGCATCTAGAACAACTCTACACGACTGATAATGACCGGCAGCATCCATGACGCTTACTACGGCTGTGGATAAAACTATCTGTGTTGGCCTCCTTAACGTTGAGCTCAAACTTTGAGTGGTGCCTTTCGCTGCAGCTTGCGCTGTTTTAGGGTCTGTCTCTGCCTCAACCGCTTGTATCGCGTCACCTTCCTTGACCGTATGTAACATTGTATTGTGTTTTCTTTCGCATTTTCTGCATCTACTAGCCTTACATTCGTTTACTCTATGATTAGGTCTAAAGCAGTTGAAACAGAGACCTGCCCTCTTTACGGCCTCTGACCTTTCATTTAAACTCATGGCTTCAAACTTTGGACACTGCTGTATTTTGTGGTTGCCTCCACAAACATGACACTCGACCTTTGCTTGTGTTTCAAGCAAGACTTGCTTCGCTTTGCTGGCAGCTGTCTTGTTTGAACTCAACGTCTTGCTATTTGACGTATTTTCGCGATTCAGTGCATCGTTGGGAATAGCCTCTAATATGTGACATCTATTACGCAGAAATTTAAAGTATTGCTCTAGCGTAGGGACTTCATTTCCCTCTAAAGTCTTTTCCCATTCGACGCGTGTCCTTTTATCTACTTTAGCGCCGATTAAGTGCAGAAGTAACATATCCCAGCCTTCTACCGGTTGCTCGAGATTTCTTAATGCTTGGATATGCCTGAGCGTTGTATCAATTAGTGTATTCAAGCTTGACGCTGTCACTTTCATGATCGCCTGTAATTCAAACAGTGCCTTTACGTGACTCTGAATGATGATGCGCTTGTTGCTGTATCTCTCTTTCAATAGATTCCATGTTATTTCATAGTTCTCTGCTGTTGCTGCCAATGACTGTATGCTTTGAGTCGCGTTGCCGACCAAACATGACTTAAGATAGTTGAACTTTTGCACTGCTTGTATTTTTACGTTACTATGAACTAAAGTTTTAAACGAATCCTCAAAGCTCAACCAGTCTTCATATCTACCATCAAACTTCGGTAGTGTTATGGTAGGAAGTTTAACCCCCGTGTCGTTTGTATTCATGCTTGTTAACTGTCTCAATATTGCACAAAGATTCGCATCACCATTCGCATCACTGTTTGTATTACGGCTCGATGCCATACTCTCCTCTCTCTCATCCAACAACTGCTGTGCTCTCGCTATCTGCTGATAGTAATTTTCCTCGAATATTAGCTTAGAATCGTCGTCGGTGCTATCCTCTGCAATCTCTATTTCCATGTGTACGTTTTCGAATTCTGTTAACCAATCCCTTGCTTTTTCAAACCGAATTTTTAATGTATTGTAATCTCTTTCGGCCTCATAAGTATCCAGGAAAGCTTTGAATCTGGTTAAGTTTGCTTTGACCACGCCACGACGCTTTTTCAATCGAGTTAATTCCGTTTCCATGGCGAATGATCTGTCTGACGATAGCAACGGCTCGACGATTCTAACCTCTACTTGTTACGAATGTATCCTTTCGAGTGACTATCTCGTTTTCTCTACTACAACTACTATCTTTATCCGGCTGTGTGAAGGACTAACTTTATGTTTGGATACAAAACTCTTGTTCCTTTATTCTTATAAACTAATCTTACATGCTCTTACTCGCTACTCGCAATCGCACGTCCGCACGCTTGGCTGGCCAGCCGCAGAGAGAGCAAGATTGGGCGTCGAGCCCGGAAAAGAAAGAAAAATGGGAAGTTCTCGTGCCAATCTCACGGCCGCTGTGTCGCTATAGGTTTCTAGTTCGTACTGCCAACTTAGAGGACGCGCGCTATTTGAACTCCTGTACAAAATTTGGATTGAAAAAACTGAAGAACAATATAATATATAATTAGAAAAAAGTAAAGTAAAGTAAAGTAAAGTGTGCAAATTAGAAATTTGCACATGGCTTCCTCATAGAGGAAGGTTTAGGAGCGAAATCTAATTTTTTTCGATGTTTCTTGAAAGTGTGCAAATTAGAAATTTGCATATTGCTTCCTCATCATTGAAGCGTGCAAATTGGAAATTTGCACATTTCTTCCTCACCATTAAAGTAAGCAAATTAGAAATTTGCACATTGCTTTCATTGTTATGGCTTCCTCATAGAGGAAGCTTTAAGAAAGAAATCTAACTTTACTACGATGTTTCTTGATATTCAAATTATTCTTATTTCGCTCTTAAAGCTTCCTCTATGAGGAAGCCATAACAATGGAAGCAATGTGCAAATTTCTAATTAGAAAAAAGTAAAGTAAAGTGTGCAAATTAGAAATTTGCACATGGCTTCCTCATAGAGGAAGCTTTAAGAGCGAAATAAGAATAATTTGAATACTTTCAAGAAAC